TTGCCCTGATCGCCGGCTGTGGTGCCCGCAAATCAACTCACTTGGCGCGGATTTTCCTCCATCACCATTTGTGGGAGGTTTGTCACTCGCCACCAAGCCTGACCCCGTTGTCATAGTCGGATTCTCTGCATTTTCTTGTGAACTTCCACTCCCCCCGCCAGCAGCATCACTGGCTGCTGTAGTTCCGGAAGTCGTTGTTGTAGACGATGATGTCGTCTTGTTGAGCTGAGGTTGCCCTTGCCAGCTGCCTTGCCCTTCCCCTTGCCGCTCGTATGGTCTTTACCTTCCTTGGTGTCTTTGCCTTTGTTCTCGGCTTTCTCAGGTGACTTTGTCTTGTCTCCTGCAGGACACTCCTGTTTCCGGTGACCCAACGACGAGCAAGTCCAGCAGCGATCGTTCTTGTCCTGAACCCCAGCCCAGTCATGTGCAAATCTGCATGATGCTCCCCGTGCACAACCTGAAGCAGTGCGCCAATTTCCGCATGCCACCTTGGTCGCAGGCTTGTCGGAGCCCTGTTGAAGCTGCTTCACCTTTGCTTCCGGTGCTTCTTTGCGATCCCCTGCCAACGCGGCAGTAGTCAACTCCGCTTGCAGCAGTTGAGCGAACCTCGTCACCACACTCTGTTGTGTTGTAGTGTCCAAGTTTTTCGAATGTCTCCAAGACTGCACCCTGAAGTTGATCTGTGGCTCCTTGTTGAGGGTCTGCCTGCATATATATTGAATCCAATGCCCCAATCTGCAGCACTGGGTCCGGCAAGGTAACTCCCAACTCCACCGCTCTCGCCACAGCGTGACCACAAGCGCAGCTTCTCCACTCCATCTGCCGGAGATGCCGCCGTTTCCGGCGCCGTCAAGGCCCGTAGAAGTCCTGACTTCTCACCAAGACCTCCTGGTTGGAACCTCTTCATGACCTCCAGCATGATGGATGCCGCTGTCAGCTTCCTGTTCGCAATGATGTCCGACTTGATCGAAGACGGTAATGCAGCCAACAGCATGCTTGTCACCCGTCCTTCAAGCCTCGTGGCATTGGGCTTCACCTGCACATCAACCGCCAACCGAGTCAACGCGTCTGACGACAGCCACACCTTGTAGACCGCATTCACCTCAATCATGAGCTGCGTCCACCAACGTGCTGCTCCACCAGAAACGTCCCCAATCAGCGGCTCAATCTCCGTGATCCAATCCCCACACCTGAGTGCTGGCTGAGGTGTACTCTCATCCGGTAACTTGGGAAGGGTGACACTGATAGCCCTCAAGTCATCCTTCATCTCATCCTTCGTGAGGACCTCCGGGTTATTTGCCCCCCATTCGAAGTTGGTTTTTCCCCCGTCCGGCTTCTTTTCCTCGGCCAGCATCGGTGGAGGTGGAGGGACGTAGTCATTGCTTGGCTGCTGCGCATCCGCCTGCATCCACAACCCATCTGCTTGCTGCCACACTGGGACTCCATGTCCTCCATTCTTGGTCTCATGGGTCCTTACTCTACTATTCGTGCAGCTCTCGCTCCAACCACTGCAGACGAGCCGCTTGGAATTGGCCAGGACCATCGTCTGGTGCCCATCCACCATGAAGTCCAGTCCACCTGCCATGTTCCGACTCCATCAATCTAGATGCAGAGCCAAGTTCTTCCCGTCCTTCACCATCACATAGTTCATGCCATCGGGATAAACCCCGCGGTCGGGACCTCTCTGTCGGTGTACTCCACCCCCACAATCACCTCGATGTAGGTTCCCAGCTACCCCCAACATCCCTTGGGTCCACTCATGTACTCCTTGATCTCGTTCATGTCGCTCCCGATGTCGACGTTCCCAACTTGACCATTCCTCCGCCGAGCACCCATGCTCAAACTTCGACCATGGCCAGGGTGGAATCTCTGGTAGCTCACCCCGTGGCTCCTCCAGTGTTTGCGGTGGTGTACCCCCTGGTGTCCTTCTCACCTGCACTGGCTGTTCCATCGGTGTGAACATCGCCGTAGTTGGTGTCTTCGGTCCAGGAGTCTGATCTCGGTGGCATTGACCTTGTGCGATCTTCTCGTTCAAGGCCTTCACCTCATTCCGAAGCTCCTCATTCTGTTTCCGAAGCTCCTCGACCACTTGAAGTTCAATCGCTCGCTGAAGATCATCATCCCGGCCCAGGCGATCTCGTCGACCTTTACCTTGATCGAGCCGTTGGTGTTCTCCCAGCTGTTGACCTGGTACCCCACGATCTTCCTTTCGGTCGGCTGTCTGATTGCCCTCCTCCCAACCTGAGTGAGCATGCCGACCTTTTCCCTGATCAAGCTGTTGATGCTTCTCCGGCTGTTGACCTGGGACTTCACGGTCTCCACATGGACGCCGTTCCTTCAGTCGCAACTCCGTTGTTCGCTCTCTCCCCTTCAGGGATCCTCTCATCCAGCTTGCCGGTGGCATCGGAGGACCGGCAGAACCTCGTGCACCTGAATCATCTTTCACCTCAGGCCAGCCCGGTTGGATTTGGACGGCTGTCTGGAGCTCCTCTTGCGAGTCCCTCCAAAGTTCTTGTGGACCTTTTTCCCGATCCACACCGGCACTGATTGCATCTCCACCGTCGTCCACAGACTTCTCCCCCAAGTTCTCCTGGTCCACGTCCAGGCTCAGCAAGTCCAGAAGATCATGAGCATCAGGGATCATCTCCTCTGACTCCACCGTGCCGCTGACACCTGAATCGCCCTCAGGAACCAGTGGGAGATCTTCTGGCCTCGCCTGCTCTAGTGCAAAGCGTTCTCGAAGTTCCAGCGACCAGAATGGATTCGCCATGGGAGCCAACGACTAGCTCACGAACACCGTGAGTCTAGGTGGTCTTAAAAGAAAGCGTTGGGCTCATAACCTGCAAACAGGCAGAGCAGCGCGTCTTTTCACTTGGGTACAAAAGGGCCTTCGGCATGTAACGTGGTCTCACGTCTCGTCCTCAAAGTGTCCTCAAAAAACGAGTGCTCATGTTACAAAAACAATCCGTCCAAAGGGAGCAACTATAGGAACTACTGCATGTGAACGAAAGGACCTGTAGGCTTCATGTTCAAACGGCGAGCTTGTCTACGCTTCCAGAAAGTTTTGAGTAAAGCGTGGATGTCAAATTCGGCCTCTCAAAGCAGGGGAACAAGCTCTAAACTTTGGGACATACGACATCTGGGCAGGAAGTGCGCACGAGCACAATCAGCATCAAGGGAGTTGCATGTTTTCGGCAACGATTCATCAGTAGTTGCAGCCACAACGTGGAATGCGTTAGACCCACCCGCGGCGTTGCATTCCTGGCCTTTCCATTTTCATATCCGAGAGCATGCGCAGGTATCCGCAGGCTTGGTGCGTGGTAGAATCGCTGGAGCAGGCATTGCCAGACACTTTCGCCTTATTTCATCTGCTTGTCCTGCTGCCTGTTGGTGCAAACGGCACCTAATTATGGGTTGCAAGAGGCTCCTGCTCATGCAGCTGGACCTCGTCCAAGCACATGCGATAGATTTGACGTCGACGAAGCACCGTCGCGGTGAGACGGTCTCACCGCTCGCCAGGCGACCGCTTCTGACCGCTTCTTCTGGACCCAAAACCATTTGGAGCGTGCACTTCTTCGCGGATCTGCATGCTTTTGTGACACCTGTCTGCCCAAATATGCAAAGCAAACCTGTGCCTGCTCGTGCAACAGGTCACCCAGGTGCACTCCACCCCCATCGGCCCTCCCAAGGCTCGGCTTCATAGGACCACCAAACATCGGGAAGAGCCACCTGTCCAACGACCCCCGGAAATCGGAAAAGAAACAACAGGTGAATCAAACAGAATCAAACAGAATCGTGCGGAAATGTGCGGAAAGGGAGCGCATTGCTTCCACATGGTTTTTTGGCGGGGTGTTCTCTTCTGTATCCCAACACACGTGTCCCGTCCTTGTTTCTGTTCAAGGGTTTCCACTGAAACTCCTACCAGTACTATCTGGCTGTTTGGCTGCCTCGGTGGCGTGAAACGCGGCTGTCACATGATTTTGAGAGCCCAATCGGCTGCAAAAGGCACCGTCGGCTAAATCTGGATATTGTTTTGACAAGTGTGGGACAGCACTCACCGCGTGAAAGCTCGCAAAGACAAGCTGTGCATGGTTTCTCGTCGCTTTTCTCAAGTAGCGAACCAGACCTTTGAAAAACACCATGGCATTTGCCAGCAGCGTGAAGTTAGACGATTCAAGCTGTGACCATCACAAATACAGTAAAGCCTTTCAGCTGCTGGTGTGTACCTGAAACTATTCACACACCGGCAAGTGAATAATTAGAACTACAGAAACTCAATGCCAATCTCCCTCAGTTTCATCACCAGCCTTCTTGCTGAAATGCTGCGGCCGGAGTGCTCCAGCAAAATAGCCGTGCAAGTCGTGCAATCACCAGGCCGAGAACAGACAGGTCTCATGCGTGAATTCTTGGCTACTTCTAATGAAAGCAACACGGCCTTGTTTGGCCCAGATTTTCCAGGGTGCCGGGTTCAATTCAATGATCATCAACGATGGATAGTTCTGCTCTTTCATTTTGGAGTTTATATGGCTGGCCTCTCAGTCTAAAACCTCGCTCTATATGATGCTAAATATGTATGATTGTGCTCTCACCAAAACAAAAGAAAATTGTCGCCACAGCTGACCTTTAGGGGAGATCTTGCTTGGACAAGATATGACCAAGTCATCAGGTTTTCCACGGCTTTCTAACATACTCAATCCATACTCAATCCCATGCCGCAAGTACCCCTTACGAAACCACTCAGGTGTGTGACTAATAACAACCCCTCCTCTGAATCTCCGGTGCTCACATGGCACAGCGGAAGTTGAGGCATACCGCAATGGATATTTGGTCATGCTCCCCAAGCCATATTTGACAGAAGCCCGTGCATGGACCAAGTCACCAAATGTTTCTTCATCGGGCACAGAAAGTGGATTCGTGGATTCAACATACCCTCCTTGACTGACTCCTGTTCAACATTCATTTTGGAGCTTCAGTTGGCACACATCACCAGCACTAAGGATCGGGTACATGAAGAAATCATTCTCAGCCCAGGACGGACTTGAATTGTCTCCCGCCAGTCGCTCCAAAAAGTGCGACTTGAGAACTTGCCGAAGAAAAATGCGGGGCCCCCGCCTGATTTGCAAAGCAAAGGATCCACGGATCCTCACGGATCCTCACGGATCCTCACGGATCCTCACGGATCGAATCAAGATAGAATCCTTGTGGCTCTTGATACTGGATGAGCATGACATCGGAAACAAACAAGGAAGCGCGCGATTGAATCATCAGAACTTGGCTTCCTGGAGCCCACTGAACCCCCGGTGGGGGCCCTGAACCACCTCAAAGCAGGAAGCGTTCCTCCCGCTCGAGCACCTGAGCTATGCGCTTGCCCCGCTTCTGGACAAAATATGCTCCCCCCTTCAGGGTAGGACGGGGTGGTCCCACCTCCCAAGTAATAAAAATACTATTTTGGTGGTCCCTGACGGGGAACCCCCAAAATTATTTTGAGATGAAGCACCTCTCACCACAAAAATTCAAGACACCACAAAAACACATCCCAACAAGATTCTTGTAGCTCAACATAAGGGGTATGCCAGACCCCCACCCCACCTCTCAAATAATTTCAACAAACTCATGCGCAAAGACACATGGCAACTCTACAGATCTCATCGCAAAGAAAGCAATCCATCACCCTATCACAATTTTTTGGGGGGTGGGGGACCCCCCAAGGCACCCAGTGTCCTCGAGCTCTCCCAAAGTCCACCACCCTATCTATATTATTTGGGGGGTGGGGAAAAATTTTTGAAAGGCACCCCAAATAGAGAATATTGTTTTTTAACTGGTCTACAGAAATTCATCAACTTCAAGCTTTGGCTCCAGGACTCCGGGGTGTACTGATTTCAGACCCGAAGTAGTTGAGGGTATAATAAGATACCTCTTCAAATCTCTGCTACTCTTTTATAATGGAACCGATTTCAAGAATCGCATACCTCATTCATCCTGATTCCTTGGATTGGTTTTTTGGATTCCTGCCACCTAAAAAAGTTGTAATTATTTTGGCCCACCGACACGTCAAGTTGAACATTATTTCTGGACCCACCCAACACCCCACCTCAGTCAAATAATTATTGAAAAGAATTATTTTAATCAAAGCTATTTCAAGAGGTGACCCCACCCCCTCAAATATATAATTTCCCAAGGGGGCCCGCATGACAAAATATTGTGGGTTGAGAGTAGATGGCACCATCCCCCAAATGTCGTTTTTGCGGACTGTAGACCCCTATATTGTTAAAATAACCGCTTGGGGGTTGTGCCTACTCTCAATCCACTGTAATGATGTGTCCTTCCAGGTTGAGGGCTCGACCCAGAAGTGTCGGTATTGACGTCGGGTCACCTCGACAAAGACTCGTCGGTGTCTTCAAAGTTCACCGTGCGAGGATCAAATGCATCATACCCAATCATATCCAACCATCTTAGAGCATTGCTGAAGCACAACTGTATTTTAAGTTGGTCTATAACATATAATATGCTCAATAGTCAAACACCAAGCCATGGCACAAACAGCATAACGGGAGCAAACCCTCTAGTGGCCTTTAGCCCCTCTTGAGGTTACTCAATTGTGTAATGGTTCGATGGGCTGTCGCAAAACTCCCCCACCATTGCAAAATGAGGGGTGAACATTGAATCTTTTGATTCATCATGTCGTTCATGCACAAAACGAGAACAACACACAGTCCCACTGGGCCACGGGCACTTACGGAGCGTGAACGACCATAGCCAAGACCAGGAAGATCGTAGTTCGCCTCAATCGAAGATCGGCTGTGCAAGAGCGTGCCCATCGATGTGCAAAGCAGCGATATACCAAGATTCTTAAGCATCTATCACAACATATAGAAATCAATCTGAGCTTGTCCTGGTAGTGCCAAGCTTTAGGTTCACATGGCTGGTTTTAACGGTGCCTACGAGGCATCAACGAGGGTTAGAATCAGAATAAAAAAGATAGAAAGGGAGCCCGGGAGCGAATGATGAACAGTCTCGAACCATGAAGCAACACGTACAGTACTGTTGCCCCTTGTCCTTCAGTCTCTTGTGCTATATTTGATGTATCTCTTGAAGACTCAAGAAAAACAACCCTAGAAGTGCAGGGCTGATACGAAGAAGAGATAAGAAAAGCACAATTCTTTGCGAGCAACTTTCCATCTCTTGGTACCCACCCACACCCGCCTCCTCCATGAACGCATTGGATTGCTACTAAGAGCACGCACGCTACTAGGAGCAAAGGGCGTCGCTACTAGGAGCAAGGACGCTACTAGGGGCTCCTGGCCTTACTACTAGGAGCAAGGACGCTACTAGGAGCAAAGGGCATCGCTACTAGGAGCAAGGACGC